TTTTTTACCTTACGAACAAAATACCGGAGAAAAATAAAATTATTATTATTATTATTATTGTTAGTCGTTTAAAAAAATTTTAGGCCTGCAATCTTATTTTTCAGGGGGTGAAAAGGAGGGAGGGAGGGGGGGATAGGGAAAATTGATGATTCGTTGAAAATTATTGCGATCGTTGCGTGGATTTTGCACATCGCACGCTTTCTTTTTTTTTTTTTTTTTTAAATGGATTTCCTGTATGATGACGTCACAAGATATTGAATCTTTTATTTATTTATTTATTTATTTATTTATTTATGATTGTTGAATTCTATTTATTTATTTATTAATTTGGCACATTTTTTAGCGTTTTTTTATGAATTTTATAATTTAAATGTCACGTTTTAAGTTTTTCATTTTTTTTTTCTTTTTTTGTTTTTCCCCCCGTTTTTAATCCGTTTATTAATATTATTATTTTCGATTTTGTTGACAATTGAATTTATATTAATTAATATTTTTTATTTAATAAAATGCGTTTGGCTTATTGTAATGATGACGATGACGTAATACTCATTGAAAATTTTAAATTAGTTTTTTTTCCCCCTGTTTCGCTTATGGGTGCTAATAAATCACGTGTTGTTTTCATAATCGTATTACTGACATATGAAAATTTTCACGTGGCGTCACTCTACCGTAAGTGCACATTTTTCCCAAATTTTTTTTTTTTTTTTATAAAAAGCATTCCGTTTTTATTGAATTCTAAAATATATTATCCGTCTTTTTAAATTTTCAAAAATTTGTTGTAAATGTACATTTTTCCCAAAATTTTTTGTTTTTTTATAAAAAGCATTCCGTTTTAATTGAATTCTAAAATATATTATCCGTCTTTTTAAATTTTCAAAAATTTGTTGTAAGTGTGCATTTTTCCCAAAATTTTTTTTTTTTTTTATAAAAAGCATTCCGTTTTAATTGAATTCCAAAATATATTATCCGTCTTTTTAAATTTCCAAAAGTTTGTTGTAAGTGTGCATTTTTCCCAAAATTTTTTTTTTATAAAAAGCATTTTGTTTTAATTGAATTCCAAAATATATTATACGTCTTTTTAAATTTTCCTTACGAAAAAAAAAATTAATTTAAAATGATTTGTTGAATATGTATAAAAACTAATTTAAAATTCGTTTTCTTACAATTAAGCAAATGCAATATTTATATTTTCATTTTTTTTTTTTGTTTGGCTGTTGTTATGCAGCTTTTGCAAAGCGCATGTTTATTATTATTATCATTATTAAATTTCCCGCGTTTTGTACTACACGTCTTCAAACGTGAGAAAAAAAAAGGAAAAAGAAGAATAAAAAGAGAAGAAAAATAAATGGAGGAAGAAAAAGGAGGAGAAAAACAAAAACAAAACAAAAAAAAAAATTGAAAACAATGGATTGATGGTTCGATCGATCGATCGATCGATCAATCGATCAATCGCAAACGTAAAGAAATGCCTGTTTTTCAGGTGAAGCGACCTTCCATACCTAAAATGATATTCACGAAGAAACGTGAGAATAATATTCTCAGAAGCAGCCACAAGTAATTGAAATCCTTATTAATTTCTTTATATGTACCATAGTGAATGAAAAAAACCGTAAGTAAGAAAACAATCAATCAATCAATCAATCAATCAATCATGTAGGTAGTACTAATAATGTAGTAAAGCTTTTTCTTTTTCTTTTTTTTTTTTTTACCTTTTGCTTTTGCTATGCGGCATGTAGTTTTTTTTAGCACTTAAAAAAAAAAAAAATTGACATTTTCATTTTCTTATTAATTACGAATACTTAACAAATGGCGGTAATAGCGGGTAGCAGAAGGGGGGAAGAACGGAAAAAAGGGAGGTTATATGTCGTCGTTAAACTGGTAATAACCCGACCGACTCGTTCCTCAAATAATCCGTTTTAATTACACGGATGGAACGAAACCGGAAAAGAAACCGAAATAAAAAAAAAAAAAAGTTACGATTAACGTTATTATTAACAAATTTAAATTAATAATAATAATAATTAATCAATTAATTAATTACTGGAGAAGATTGTAGGCCTAAAAAAAAAGACTGACTGGAGTCATTCTTGCCCTTTAACGTGAGGCTTCTTCTTAAATAAAACGCTTAAGCAAATTTCGTATACGTAAATGTTAATGTTTATTATTATTTTTATTATTATTATTATTATCATTATCATCGATGAAATTGTTTTTTATTAGATTTTATTAATATGAATTTTATGGGAATTTTTTTTTATAGCCAATTACCAGCGTATCACCGAGCAGTGTCCTGGCGTCCGCCGGTAGAGACGACCCCCCAATTAACCAACGTCCGGAGAACGCACTCGACGCTTTGTTAGACGAACTACAAACATTTGCACGCCCTCCCGGTCTTCCGCAATCTCCCACATCAAACAGACCTCCGTCAATGTCAGAAATCGGTCGTAGAAAAGGAAGCATAGATTCGAATAATTCATCTCTCTCGACATCACTCCCACTGGCAACATCATCATTGAGACGTCTTCATTCTTATCCGAGCAGCAGCGACGACAGTTCGCCGCCTACACAATTAAGAGACATACAAAAACCAGCCACGGGTCCGAAACCACCGGTACCCGAAAGGAACGTCGAATTATTATCGCAATTAGTCAATCGTAGAGTTCCTCCTCCGCCGCCACCGAGAACGAGTTCGAGATCACCGTTGGCATCACCGACATCTCCGAGTTTACCACCTAGAGCCACGCCACCGTCACAACCTCAAATGGGTATAAATACAGGAACGTTGAGAAGAAACGCTCCCGGGAGAAGTTCTCTACGGGAATATAAAAGCGGAGAAGTACAACAACAATCGAACGAGGATAACGACACGTCAGCTCAAACATCATCAGAGGGACAATCCGTGTCGTCATCGACTCCAAACACGTCAAGTTGCGAAAGCGTGAGCTCTCAAGAAGGGATTAAAAATAAAGAATCTCGTAAAGAACTTTTAGAACAGGTAAGCAATAGCACCACCACCACCACCATCCCGTAATGACGGCCCTTCACGGCCGCCAACTTTTCCGCCCCCTTTCATAAAAACTAACAATTTTTTCACAGAGACACCAAGAACTTTTAAGAAAGCAAAAAGCTCTACAAGAACAATATGCAAGACTGCAACAACTTCAAAGAGGTGCGACAGCTTTCGCGATACCAACGCAAGATTTAATGCTCAAAAAAACGGGATCCGAAAGTAACCTCTTATCAAAAATGGGTTTGGGACAAAGTTTATCAGCTGCCGCTCCCATGTCCGGATCATTAACTCATTTAGCACCTCAAAATCAAGTAGTTCCTTTGGCTCCGTTTATGTCGACAGCAACACAACCACATACCACAACATCATCATCTTCATCATCGAATCCTCCTCCTCCTCTTCTTCTTCCTCTTTCTACTCCTTCTTCTTCATCTTCTACAACTTCAACGACGAAAATTTACGAGACCGACATTCTGTGACCTTATTTTCCTTACGCCCATTTAATTTACATACTATTCATTCAGTATAAATATAAATTTAATATAAACTCCACTAATAATAATAATAATAACAATAGTAGTAACGATAATAATAATAATGATAACGTAAATTTATTAAATAAATCAATTTTTATTAATATTATTATTATTATTTATTTATTATCATTATTCAATGAAATTTTTTCTATCGACATTTTTTTATACTTTAATAATATTAATAATAATAATAATAATAATGTATTAACACGCAAGATGATGACGTAGCATTAACCTAAAATAATACATAAATAAATAATTATGTACGTTCCTCAATGCGTATTTTTCGCACAAAAATTATTATTATTATTTTTTTTTTTACGCGCGCCCGCCTATTTCTCAGGTTCTCGAATGTTCTTCGTCACTCTCTGTCATTTTTACATAAATTATTTTATATGTAAACCGATTTTAAATAAATTAATAATAATAATAATATCGAATCGATTAATAAATCGATAATTTCTTCGTACTAAATATAAGAAAAGGGGGTAAAAAGAAGGAAGGAAGGGAGGGAGGGAAAACGAATCAAGTTTACTCTTGCATCTATTATTATTATTATTACTTATTTATACATAAAAAAGTATATTAATAAGTTATTAATTAATTAATTAATTTTTAAAAAAAAAGGAAGCACCTGGATGATACGATTAAAATACTACATATTTAAAAAAAATCCCAACGTGCCAATTTTTTTAATATTATTATTATTATTATTAATAAATAAATAAATAAAATAAATTGTTGTTATTATCATTATTATTATTATTATTATTATAAATTATTTATTACGGTTTACAATATACTATTATTATTACTATTACTACTATTACTAAGCTGTCTTTAAATAAATAAATAAATAATTTATTATTATTATTATAATTAAACATAACATGATAATTATTTAATATGAGATTTTGTTGTAAAAAAATAAATAAATAAATAAATAATAATAAGAGTGATAATTATTATTATTAATTAAGGAAAAAATATATATCAATTAACATAATAATAATAATAATTGTTATTATTATTATTGATTAAAAAATTTAAAAACGATTCGATTTTTATTTATTTTAAATAAATAAATAAATTAGGTAATTAATTAATAATTTTTTTTTTGTATTTAGATTAAATAAATAAATAAAAAAACAGGAAAAGTGAAAACGACAAAAAAAATAAATAAATAAATTGTATTATTATCATTATTATTATTATCATCATCGTCATTATTATTATTATTATTATTATTATTTGTGTTGATATTTTCTTCCGCTACTACTACTATTACTCTATTTATTAAATGATAAATTTTTATTTTTTATTTTAATTTTAATGAATTTTATTTATTTATTTATTTATTATTATTATTATTAAAATAATTTACTTAATTTATATTAAGTATAAATAAATAAATAATATTATTGATGATATGGAGAAAAAAACCGAACAAACAAACAAACAAACATCCTTATCGGTGATAATAATTGTTTTTAATATAGGAAAAGTAATAAATTAAATTAATATAAAAAAGGCGGGAAAATGTAAATGAAATTATTATTATTATTATTATTTATTTATTTTTTAATTTCTGTTTGTTGTGGTTGCTTTTTTTTTATTATTTATATATATATAAAAATTAGTTTTGGTCGAAAAAAAATTTTAATTATTTAGTTTATAAATATATATACATATTTTAAAAAAAAAATTGCTTTAAATATAGTAATGAGAAAAAAAAAAAAATTTATCAATTTTTTATCTATTTATTGATTGATTTTTTATTTATTTATTTTTTATGTATCGTGATGTTAATTAATAATTTTTTTTTTTGTAGATTAAGAAGAATTTATTTTTTAGTACAAATTTGCAATGAGGTGAGTGAGTAAATGTTTGTCTGGGGGAAAGGAGAGGGGTGGAGAGGAAAAATGAGAGAAAAAGACCAAAAATTTGTTTTTCAAATGGGGAAGAAGTTGGAATGAGTGAGAAAGATGTAGAGAAAAAAAGAAATAGCAAGAAAGGAGAGAGAAAGAGAGAGAGAGAGAGAGAGAGAGAGAAATAAGAACACATAGAGACGGAGAAGAAAAATGAAAAAGAAAAGAAAAGGAGAGAAAGAGAGAAATAAGAAGACATTAAGAGAGAGGAGGAGAGTAAGGAAGAAAAGAAGAGAGAGACAAAAAGAGGGAGTCAGTAAAGGGAAAAGAGAGAGAGAGGAGAAAAGGTAAGAAAGTTAATCATCGTGTGAAAGTATTAAAAAAAAAATTTTTATTTTTAACAAAATACAAAATTATCAGTATAAAAAAAAAATAAAATAAATTTTTTGGTCGTGGTTAACAATCGCCCCTCCCCCTCCCCCTTTTGTGGTTTCAACGCCCCCTACCGGATTACACCGCCCTCCCCCTCAAAAAAAGAATTTTTTAATCCTCGTAAAGTAAATATTTATGAAGCGTTACGGGTATTATAAATTCATGGACGACTTTAATTAATTTCGAACCAAAATGTCTTCTGAAAAACAGGCGACACTGATGAAGGAGAGAAAGAGGTTTCGTTGCTAAATCTAATAAAATTAATTTTTGATTTTGAGTTAAATAAGATGATCTTCTTATCATACACAAATCGAATCCTTCCGCAGCTTCCAGCAATGTTCTCAACAATTTCGGATAAGAATCCAAATTTTGTAATGAATTTAATATTCCGTGTGGGTCCCTGTATTGAGTTTTCATAACGACCTGAAATCGATTATAGATTTATAAAAAATTACGTTTCGCACACGTTTAACTTACGAACAATATTAAATTAATTATAAATAATCCCTTCTCACTTTGGCGCCAAATTTTAAAAGCATGTGTACCACTTGTGACGATAATTCCGCATTGGACGCTATGTATTCTGCTAAAACGGGCCTTAACGTTATTCCATCGCTTTCTATTACCTTGTTTGGATCCGCACCTCTGGAGAGTAGTATCGATAGTATGTCCATTCTTTTGAAAAACAAACAACAAAAACAATTTATCATTAAACGATTGTTTGTTTGTTTGTTTTCTCAATTGGTTCGAATTTTTTTTTTACCTGTTTGGAATATTATCGGCGCAAGCAACGTGTAAAGGTGTTCCTATTATTGGAGAACTCGAATTGACGTTCGCACCTTAAAAAATTTATGAATTTTACTATTAACCGGAAATACCGAAAGAGAAGAGGGGGTGGTAAAATTATTTACCGGCGTTGAGTAATAATTTAACCAATTCCGGATCTCCTTTTAATATTGACAAATCCAGGGGAGTAGGTTTTTGATAATCAGAATCGTAATTAACCGTCGCTCCTTGTTTTATCAGCAGGTAAACGATTTCCAAATTTCCACTCAAAACGGCATAATGGAGAACGGTACGATAATCGTGTCGAACGTCTGTCATTGCGTTCACATCAGCACCGTAACTTAACAATAGCAAAACGCTGTCCATACCCTAAAAAAAAAAAGATTAATTGGATTTGTATGTAAAGAGAAACAGATATAGTGGCGGTTGGTGTTGTTGGTGTTGTTCGTACCTGTGGCAACCTTGCTGCTTTCATTAAAGGTGTTAAACCTCCTCTGTCACGTATGTTAGGATCCGCTCCAAAAGTTAATAAAAGTCTTAGAAATTCAACGTCGAGTACGGAAAGAAGATTAATTTCAGAACCGAAAAAATATCTCGTGTTTGGATTAGCGCCGTGTTCCAAAAGTAATTTTGCAATTTCATAATGGCGGTGACGTATCGCGAGACGAAGAGGTTCGTCGCACAACATCGTTCTCGGAAATTGTTCACCTTGATGGGGATGAAAAAATTAATATCGATCGATATATCGATATACTTAATAATCTTAATCTACTCACCCGTGTCTTCTCTATAATTGACTTGTGCCCCGTGTTTTAATAATATTTCGACTAGTTCCACGTAACCGTGTTCGGATGCGAGATGCAATGCGGAATATCCGCATTCGTCTCTTGCGTTAATATCGCAACCTCTGACTATCAAAAGACGTGCAGCTTCCGTGTACCTGTGCCATATGGCATAATGTAGGGGCCTTAATCCTTGGGTGACCGGATCGTTGGGTTTAGCACCGCATGCTAAAAGTATTCTTAATTCGTCAAGTGGACGAAGTCTTATTATTGAATCTGCTAATTCTCTTTGTAGAGAATTCGACAGACATTGCGGTGGCATTTTTTATTTTCTGTTAGAAAAATATTTTCTAACGCGAACGACAGGTTGTCGCACGTTTTCAGAAACCTGTTTTATCGATTTTTTTTTTTTTTAAAAAAAACGATATTTTACCGGAAACGAACAACTTACCCTTTTTTCACTCGGACGATATGCAAACGCGCGCGCGTTTTTTTTCTGTTGTTTGTTGATTGTAAGACAAACAATGGTTTGATTAATAAACAATATTAAACATTTGTTTGTTAATTTTTTCGGATTTAATAAAATTTTAAAAACACAAATGACACGACGGAAATTTTTGTTTTTTTTTTTTTTGTTAATAAACGAACACTGCGAAAATAATAATGATAATAATAAAAATAATCAACAAAGAAAACAAAAAAACGTAGTAGAAGAAGAAGAAGAAGTTGACCAGCTGACTTTTACTTAATAACTAAAAATAAAATTTGATTTTTATGCCAAGAAAACAAAAAATAAATTTTCCTTTTTTTTTTTTCGACGGAGAGGAAGAGCGGGAGCAGCAGCAGCATCACCAACAGGACCAGGAGCTACAACAACAGAAGAAGAAGTGGAGTCTGGGGTGAGGACAACGGTTGATGTCCAATGGGAAAATCATTGACGAAAACATTGACTCAGTTCGTGTATGTCGTCTTCTTTCAAAATTCATTCTTCGAATCTGTGGTACTGCGGACATTTTTTTTTTTCATGCCGGTAACTATCGGTAATTATTACGATACGCAATAAATACTTCCCCCCCAAACCCCCCCCTGAAAACCGCAAAATAATTTTTTTTTTTTTTGCCAAAATTTTGACCGATTTTATGATTATTATTGACCATTAAATTTTCTTTTTTTTTTTTTTTTTGGCAAAAGCGAAACAAAGGAAAAAAGTTCATCCGGAAGTTTTCGTTTTTCTTTTTCTTTTCTTTCTTTCTTTCTTTATTATCGTAAGCTAAAAATAAAATCAAATTTGCAAAACAAAAACAAAAAAAAAAATGGCGGACAGTAAAAATAAAAAGTTTATTTCATTCGAAATGACAATGGCGTGTTTTTATTTCATTATTATTATTATTATTATTATTATTATTAATACTACGATTGCATTCTGGCATTGATAATGTTTAAGGTCCTTTTATCCCCCCCTATCCTCCCGACCTATCTTTTCCTTTTAAAATTTAAACTTCCGCGAAAAATCGCGAATAAATTTCTTTTTTTTTTCTTTTCTTCCACGTTAATTAATTATTTTGTTTTGGCATGTTTTTTGTTTTTGTTTTCGTTTTACGGTTTGTTTCCTACTTTTCGAATTTTCTTTTTTTTTTAAATTGGAATTAAATCAAAAAAAATTTCTTTTTCTTCCCCCCCCCTTCCCTGACCGGTAAAAATGAAAATTTTTTTCACCTGTCCGATTTATTTATTTATTTTTTTTTTGCGATACATTTTTCTAATTTTAATACTTTTATTAAAGTAAATATTATTATTATTTTTTTTTTTAAATATTGCAAAATGTTTATAAATATAACGAGTTCTATTGACACGACAAAATCAACGCGCTCTCTCGGATATTTTTACAACTAATTCATTTATTTTATATAAATTGTCAACAAGTGACGCTAACGTAGCAAAGTTAAACAGTTATTCGACGTGAACGTTACGTAAACAATCATTGAACGGGAGCAAAAGAATTTTTTTTAATAATTAATTTTTTATTTGCTCATTAATTAAGAGCGTCAGTTAATAATTTTTTAATATATATATATATATATATATATATATATATATATATATATATATATATATATATATTAATTAATAAATAAATTAAAAGGAAAAAAAAATATATTTTTAAGCGAAAAAAATTTCATTAATAAAAACGTTCGTGCGTACATTAATCAAACGGAAAAAAAAGTGTCAAAAGATTTTTAAGATTTTTTTTCATTTATTTATTATTATTATTATTATTATTATTATTAATTTTTATAAAAATGGAGAATGAATATAGGATTAGCCGGAAATGGTAAACGTTAGTAAATAGATAAGATTTAATGTTTTCCTTTGAAAAAAAAAAAAATTTTTTTTTTTTGTAACGCGACGATTTATCGCCAGCAAAATTTTCATTTTTGCTGTTTTTGTTTCCGTTAAAAAAAGGAAAAACAAAACAAAATTTTTTACCTTTTTTCATAAAAATTATTAATTAACTTTTTTTTTTTTTCAATCACTCCTGTCGTAACATAGCAAAAAAGAAAAAATTAATCGTAGCAAATTAATTTTCACGACGGGAATTTCGCCATTTAAAAAAAAAAAAAAAAGCGAATGCTGGAATGGGAAATGAGAAAAAATTTAATTTTGTTTCTAATGAACTAAAGAATTTCCATAAGTCTAATGACACTTTATTAAAAAAAAAATAAATCTCTACTTTCGTAATAATAATAATAATAATAATAATAATAATAATAATAATAATAATAATGGAAGTGCATTTAGACAAATTGAATGGTAAACAAATCGTGAGAGAGATAAGAATTCAATTAAAACCAAGACATGGAGTGAGGGAGGGAGGGAAAAAGAAAGAAAGTAAGTAAAAAAAAATTTCAGGTACCTCCCCTTCTGCCTTTCTCCCTCTTTCCCTCCCTTCCTCCCTCCCACACTGACCCCAGTCAAAGATTTTCTTGTTTAAAGGGAAATAAGAAAAGTATGATAAAGCAGAAGGAAAAATGATAAGAAGATGATGAAGAAGAAGAAGAAAATTTTTTTTTGTACGGAGCGAAACAGCGACGACGCAAAATATTACGAATAACGGGTAAGAAGGGGGATCATGCTTTAGGGGGGGCTTGGGGAGGGGGTGCGTGGTTCGCAAATCGTCCTCGACTTTTATTTCATTCTAGTTCGCGTTCGACTTTTTAAACGGAAAAGTATTTTTTGTAAAAAAAAAATCTCCCGTTCGGTTTTATCGCGTTCGACGTAAATTTTTATGTAAAAAAAAAAAAAAGAAAATGTCGGAAAAAAAGAAAAAAAATTTTCTTTTTTTTAATTTAATTTAATTTAAGGTTTGTGCCACGTTTTTTTTTAAATTTTTTTAAAATAAATATATAGTTTTAAATAGTTTTAAAAAATTTAAAAAATATAGCGCTATAAATTAATTTTTTAACAAAAAATATGGTAATTTTTAAACTTAAATTAAACGACCCCCACCCACCTCCCGAACGATTTTACAAAATTTTTTTTTTAAATATTAAACTATAATATAGACTTTCTCGTGCTATATTTTCTATAACTATAAAATTTGCTAAAACTATAAAAAATCGAAAAAAACTTTTTAAAATCAAATAATCTTATTTCAATTTTCCTTTTTTCAATGGGTTGGACGATTTTATTCTAAAAAAAATTTTTTTTTTTCATACATTTTCGTCATAATTTTCGAGTTTTATTATCGATATATTTATCATCGTTCGAGATATCGATCAATCGATACTTTTTTTTCCTTTTTTCTTGAAATTATGTTATTAATCGGGTGTTTCGCCATTTAAAAAAAAATGAAAAAAAAAAAAATTTTTTGTTTCGGTTTTTTTTTTACCGTGCAATAAGTGTGAGTTACGTGGAAGTAGACAAAAAAAAAATAAAATTTGAATTTATAATATATATATTTATTATGATAATAATGATAATAATAATAAATTTTTAGTTGTAAAATAAAAGTGAGAAATAATAATAAAAATAAAAAAAAAATTAACATGTTAAAAAAAATTTGTTCATCGTGGGTGTAGAAAAAAAAATTATTATTATTTTTTTATTTATTTTATTAATCGTAAATATTTTTTTTTCACTTTATTTTATATAATTTTTTATTTCCACGTGAAATGATTTATTATTATTATTATTTCTTATCTTCATAATTTTTTTTTTCTCCGGTGAAAAAGAAAAAAAAAAATTAAAGTGAAGTGATTTTTTTTTCTTTTTAAATTTATACATATTGAATGACTTAGTAGAAATTTTTTTTGTAGTGTCAATAGATTATTTACGCGTAATCGAAACGTTACATTTAAATAGATATATTTTTTTATTTTTTTCATTTAATAACTGGAATATACTTTATTTTTCAGTATTATTAATAATTTTATTGATTTTGAGGATGAAAAAAAATGTCTATTGACACGACGTAAAATTATAAAAAAAAAATTACATTTGAATGGTATTAATTATTATTTAAAAAAAAAAAAAACGTAAAGGAATCAAAACACAAAAAAAATTAAATTAATTAAAAAAAACAAAAAAGGCTACCGGAAATTGTTAAAAAATCAACATCGGTTGAAAAAAAAAACCCGAATTAAAAAAAAACTTAAAATATATAAACAAACTAAAAAAAACTAAACAAACCAAACAATAAATTAAATAATAATCGTTTACATAAAAAAAATCGACTATTGACACGTCAGAAAAAAAATAAAAAGAAAAACATAGACAAGATAAATTAAATAACTGAACACACACTCACTCACACGAAAATAAAATAAAAACCATGATTATATTTGCATGCACATGACATAACATTGCATATAATTTTTTCTTTTTTTTTACGGGAAACTTCTAGAAAATTCGGGAAAAACGATCGAAAGTAAAAAAAAAATGGCGTCGGTGAAATTTTTCTTCTTCTTTTTTTGTTTTTCTTTTGTTTTTTTTTGTTTCTTCAAAGAAAACACAAAAAATTAAATAATGAACCGTAAAATTTTTCCTTTTTCCAAACCGACGGTTCAAAGATTTTTCATTCAAAGGAACATTTAAATTATCATTGTGTGCGTGAGTGCGTGCGTGTACACGCACACGCGCACGTGCACACACACGCACGCTTTTACGTAATAATTTTTTTGTTGTTTATAATTAAAATTTTACAAAAACAAACACAAAAGGATTTTCTTCCATACCATTTCCTGTTTCCTTGTTTTTTTTTCCCGCCCTCTTTTCTTTTATCATCATCATCATCATCATCATCATCATCATCATCATCATCATTACTGTTATTATTATTAAATTTTTCTTTTCCGGGTAATTAAATTGAGAATCTTTTTTTTGTCTTTGATTTTTCGATTCACGTCATCATTTTTTGTTTTAACAATTAAAAATATTCTAGAATATTTTATACATTCTGGAATGTTAGTAAATGATGATGATGATAATAATAATAATAATAATAATAATTAAATAAAAGAAAATTATTTACGATTTTTCCGACGACGACGGCAGGAAATGAAAACCATTTGAACGAAAAGTTTTTTTTTTTTTAATTAAAATAGTTTAAAAAAAAAAAATTTTTTTTAGTAGAAAAGCATAAAATAATATACGGAAAACCTTTTTCTTTGACTTTAACCTTTTTCCCCTTCCCCAAAAAAAAGGTTGGGAGTAAAAGGGGGGCGCGCGGAAAAGAATCTTTTCGAATGGCGAGTGAATTTTTTTTTTTTAAATTGAAAATAAAAAAAAAAGAGAAAAAAAAGTTTCGACGATTTATTTTATATATTTATTTATTTTTCTATTTCAAGTTTGTTTATTTTTTTGATGACGTCATATTATTAATAACATTAATAAATGATAAAAAGCAGGTGTAAATAAATAAATAAAGTAAAAATAAAAGGAAGGTTTACGTAAAATTTCAATTTGAAAATTATTATTATTATAATTATTAATCGAACGAATTGAAAAAGTAAAAACACAAATCAATCGGACGAAAATAAATAACGTCGTGGCAGTAGAAAATAAATTTTTTTTAAAAAAAAGCAACTATTTATTTTTTTCTCTCTCTTTTTTTTTAAACTCATGTAAAGATTTTAATAAATTGTTTGTTTTAACGACGAGACTTAAAAAAAAAATTTTGAAACGGAATCCAAAAATGTCCGCCATTTTGAATTTACTTTCACGCCAGAAAAAAAGAAAAAAAATCAATTAGAAATTTTACTTTCGGATAACATATCGAAATTAACGTGGATTTAGATTTCAAACAAACAAACGGAAAATCTTTCTCTCACGAATAATTTTTTCATCCCTTCGGCCACGTAGTTGTTTTTTCCGTTTCCGCCTCTCGTTTTAATGTTTTTATAATTGTTATTATTATTATTATTATTATTATTATTTTAATTCCTTTTAAATTATTTTAATTTTTTAATTTTTTTCGCGTCGTGTAATTATAATAAAAGAATATAATAAATCACGTGTAAGAAAAAGAAGAAAAAAAAAATTAATTTTAATAATTCATCCGTTTAAAAAATAACAAAATAATAATAATAATAATTTTTCTTTTTAATTGCAACTTAGTAATTTCAAAAACGAATAAATTACAAAGGATTGAAAAAAACAAAAACATCATAGAATAATTAAACGAGTACGTTCAGAAAAATATCGTTTTGTTTTTTTTGTTATGACGTCATTGAAGCATCAGTTAAAAAAAAACGTTATAATTATTATCGTAATTATTAAAATAAGAAGATTGAAACGAATGGGAGAGAGGGACGGAGGGGGATAGAGAGAGAGAGAGAGGGGGGAATTATTATTTATGTTTTATTTTAATAAAATAAAAGCAAACAAGCAAATAAAAAATAAATCAAAAAAAAAAATTTAAATTTTTAAATGAAAAATTATTAATTTATAAAAATCACCGGTAGAGGCGCTAATGGTAGTATTTCATTCGAAACGTTTTTCCATTCGAATTTAGAATGTTTTTAAAAATAACGGTCGCGAACGGATGAAAACTTTTTTTGCGGGGGTTTATATTTGCGGATTACGTAAAATTTATTAATTTTATTAACAATAAAATCTTTATTTCATCAAAAAAAACCAAAATATGATAAATACGTTCATGTACACGCACGAAAAATACAAAAAAAAAAAAATGTCAAAATTCGTTACGTGGTATTCGAATTTTTTTTTTTCTGTTAATTCAAATTAAAAAATTAATTAACGTAAAATTACGAAAAAAAAATTAAAAAAACAAAAGAAATTTCTACGAAAACATTAAAATAAAACAAAAGGAAAGGGGGAAGGGAAGGGGAAGGGATAATTCGCGGTTTAAAAAAGATTATTAATTAATATCGTTTTCATAGAGTAATAAAATTAATATATTTTCGTTAATTATTATTACTCATTTACATACATATATATCCACATAAAATTTTGTAAATCAATTATTAATGTGAAAATATATATTTTTTAATCAAGTATATAAATATAATTAAGAGGAAAAGGAAACAGATAGAAAGAAAAAGTTTTCGATATTCATTTCCGGTTTATTTCGAAAAAAATTTTAAGTTACATTTTATGCCTTTTTTTTTTTTAAATTAAAAAAATCTAAATATAAAATGTTTTATTAAATAAAAAAAAAAAAGAAAAACAATTTTCTAAAAGGAATCGTTATTAAAATTCCATTGGAAAAAAAGGAAATTTATAAAAGGAAAAAAAAAATGGCGAGTCGATAACGATTACAATAATGATGATGATGATGGGAATTATTTAAAATAATTTCATTTGTTTCTGTCAAAAAAAAATTTTCCTTTTTAGTTTTTCCTTTTTCTTTTTTCCTTTTTTTTTTTAAATAAATCGACTCGAGGGGGTATGAATGTGTTTTTCCGATAAATTTTCCTTTTTCCTTTTTTTTTTTTTGTAAAAAGTTTAAAAAGGTTACTTACTTTATTTTAAAAAAAAGTTCACTTAAATAATTTATTTTTTTTCCTTTTTTTTCCTTTAAAACAATAAAATTTTCCTTTTTCCGAGAAAAAAAGGAAAAATGGTTTATATATATATTTTTTTTAAAATCATTATTATTATTTTATTTTTTTACTTTTTTTTATTTAAATTTTTAATGCGAAACTGAGTAACTAATTAAGAATTTCCTTTTTTTTTTTTTTTAAATTAAAAAAGCGAGGAGGAGGAGGAGGGGAAAAGAAGAGAAGGAGGAGGATGTTGTTTTGTAGTTTGTGAAAAATATAACGGAAAGTGAGAAGAAAAAATGGGAAAGAGAGAGAGAGAACCAAAGAGGATAAAATTATAAATTAACCAAGTTGAAGAAAGGGAATGAATGAAAGAAAAAAGGAAAAAAAAAGGACTCGGGGGAAAAAAAAATAAATAATAATAATAATAAAAGGAAAATGTAAAAGGATTTTGATTTGATTGCATTTTCTCCACCTCTCCCCCCACTTTTCCCTCCTCCTCATCCTTTTTTTTTAACTGAAAAAACTTTTTGTGCACTTGACCTTTTTTTTTTTGACTTCTTCATAAATTTTTATTTTTTCCTCGTTTCCGTCTCCGTTTTTTTTTTTTTTTAAATTTTTTTATAAACGATAATTTTACGTAAACATTTATGTTTTTTTTGTTTTTGTTTTCCAGTTAATTGGATTATGGAATGAAAAAAAGTCAAAAAACTAAACAACATGGACGACGAATCGATACAACATAACGTCGCGTTTCAAGGATTCAACACTACGAGATTATTAGAAGAATCGAAAAACATAAATCCAAACATATTGAAACTCTATCAACTTAACAGAAAAGTTGACGGTTTGGCTTTTTATTCGCTTATAGTAGCCTACACATTCCTCATACTCGTGGGTACCTTCGGTAATTTTTTGGTTGTTTACGTAATAATAACAAAACCGGCAATGAGAACCGTTCGTAATTTATTTATATTAAATTTAGCGATAAGCGATTTATTATTGTGTTTGATAACGATGCCGTTGACACTCATGGAAATACTAACGAGGTACTGGCCTCTGGGTCACAACGGTTTCATATGTAAAATGATAGGAACGTTCGAAGCCATAAGCATATTCGTATCCACGTTTTCGATAACGGCTATAGCACTCGATAGGTATCAAGTGATCGTGTATCCAATGAGAGATTCCCTACATCATTTGGGTGCTTTGATTGCACTCGGTGGTATTTGGCTATTAAGCGGAGTACTCGCGAGTCCCATGTACTTTTGCAGAAAGTTGGACATACTACAAGACGTTAATTTCACACAAATCGGTTTAGACGGTTTGGCTTATTGTTTGGAAGATTGGACCATACCTCACGGACGAGCTTTGTATTCCATATTTGTTTTGATAATACAATACGTCGTACCTATCGTTATTGTGTCCGTTGCTTATTCGCGGATATGTAAAAAATTACAATATAGGTACGTGTCGACGACCGTTTTGAAAAAGGAAAACGTCATGAATAGGAGAAAATCACGTGAAGATAGAAGAAGAAAAACGAATTCGTTATTTATTGCGATTGCCTTAGTCTATTGCATTTCCTGGTTGCCGTTGAATTTATGTAACGTCGTATATGATGCTGCGAATCCTTTCGGTGAAGATTTTCACACAACAATCGTTGTTTTTGCCGTTTGTCACATGATGGGTATGTCTTCTGCTTGTTCGAATCCTTTCCTGTACGGATGGCTTAACGATAATTTCAGAAAAGAATTTAAAGGTGAGTGTTTTTCTTTTTTTTTTTCATACCATATCTCGCGTCGTGTCGTTAGAATAATAATTTTTTCCAAATTATTATTATTATTATTTTAATTTATTTGTTCGAAACAACAAATTGTTTCGTTTATCTAACTATCATCGTGGCCTAGATAAAAAAAAAAAAATTGATTACGCGCGAATTATATTTATACGTTTTTAATACGAAATAAAAATTACGACGACGACGACGACAACGACGATGCTGACGACGACGGAAATGGAGACAGACACGATAAAAAAAAAAAAAATTTACAATTTCGTATATCGAACGTTTCCACCTTTTTCCCTCACTCCTGCCGCCCCTTGCCCCATTCCCCTCATTGCACCCTCCTCAATCGCTGTCTACGAATGATAAAAATTCAAAAAAAAAAAAAAAAAAAGAATATTATTTTTTTTTCCCCACCCCCCGTATAACGTGACGTCAAAAATCTAAATGCCCTCTCCCACTCTCTCTCCCCCCCCTCTCTCTCTCATTCTCTTTTCGCTTCTCCGAGCATTTATTGTTTTCATTTTAAAAAAAAATAATAATAATATAATTTTACTTCTCTTCTCTCTCTCCCCCCACATTATTATTATTATATTTATTGTAGTTATTATTATTTTTTTTTTTGTTTTAAAAAAATATGAAAATCGATTGATATATCGTTTGATTGATCGATGACTCTCGAAATATTTATTTAAATAACTACTTTTTTTTGAGTGAGGAAAATGTAAAATTTTCATCATTGTTTAAAATTGACGGGAGAAAATTCTAGAAAATTTTTTTTTTAAACAAAATTTGCGGTGAGGAGGGGAGTGTGAAGGGGGGAGTAAAAGAAAACTAAAAAGTTTTGGTGGGGGGGGGAATTCATTCATTTATATATTATTCTAAAAGAAATGATTGATAAGCAGAGTTCTGATAATAAAAAAATAAAGTATTATCAACATCAATGTTCGATCCAGAAAAAACAGATGGAAAATTATGACGTCATAAATATTTAAACGCATCGTTTTGTTTATTATTAAGTACAATTATCGTCTGCTTTTTCTTCCGCAATGATTATAGTAAATTTTTCAATGATTTTTTTGTCCGAAAAAAAATGATGATGAATGTCATGGAAAAAACGATGGGGAGTTAAACCGTTAATTGTCATTACCAATTTTTCAAATATTATTATTATTATCATCATTATTATTATTATCAGCGAGTTACTAATTAATGAACTAACGACTTTTTTTTTTTAAATATAAAAACTAGTTTTGTGTTTGTTGGTTTTTTTTTGTATTTCTCGTTTGACTGGTAGTGGTAGTAGTAGTAGTAGTAGTAAAAGATTTGAAAATCTATTAAAAATTTAAAATATTTAGGTTAGTCGTGGCAGGAGTATAAGTAGTGGTCGTGGTAGTAGTCGTCAGTTTCGTATAACTACCATTTTTTAGCTTCTGCTACAACATAAATGACTACTTTTACCCTTTGATTAAATTTCTCTCTCTCTCTTTCTCTTTCTCCTTTCCATAGGATTTACGTCACGTGATTTTTTTAAAATTTCTTTTACGAAAAAAAAAAAACGAGTTTATTTAAAAAAAATTTTCCAAAATAATAATAATAATAATAATAATAATAATAATAATAATAATAATGATTTAAAAAGAAAAAATGGCGGTTTTAGATTTGTCATTTTTTATTACTTTGTTGTAAAACTATAATTACAGGAAGCGGTAAATAAATAACCGCGATGGAGAAGAAAAAGGTTTACGATGACGGGGATAACGCAAAAAAAAGGGGGACGGGAGCGAGAAGTGTGGGGAGGGGTAGGATAAAAGAGGGGAGGGGTAGTAAGAAGAGAAAAAAACGTCGTGGAAGGAAAAACCTTTTTGAAAAATCTCGACAATGTCATAAAATTTTACAACTTTCTTCTGCTTCTTTTTTTTTTGTTATCCTCCTCCCTTTCCCCCTCCTCTTCCCTCCCCGACATTTTTTTTCCCGTTCGTATCTGTCCTCGATACTATTATTATTATTATCATCATCTCGTCTTTTTTTTCCATTTAAAATGAATTCTGTTGTGATTTTTAGACGACCCGTATATAATTTTTTCCCTAGACTCTCATTTTTTTTTTTTTTTTTTTAAAAACATAAAACATAAATCATAATCAGTTCGCCATTTTGATGACGTCTCAACGACGAAAAAAAAAAAAAATTTAAATTTATGACGTTTTGGGTACGAGAAAACAGTTACGAAATGAAAGGAAAATAAAATTACGATGTTTACGAGTTAAAAAACACGATGATGATGATGATGACAAAGGAAAAAGAGAGAGAGAGAAAGGAATAAAACGCAGGTAAACAGGATAAACAAAAAAAAGGGGAAAGGGGAGATGGGGGAAAATTTTTTAACAAAATCATTAATGGAGATGAATTTTATAAGCTTTAGACAGGAATGAAAAAATGTCTGATGTAAGCCTACCTGTTTGTTTTCCTTTCCATGTTTGCTGACGTGAATTTTTCCCTTTCGTTTTTCCTATTCTTTTTTTTTTTCGGGGGGGGGGAAAGGGAGGAAAAATTTTTTTACGTGTTTAAACCTGTCAAAGCCATTTACTATAAATAGATTTTCTAAAAGTTACTTAAACAAAAAAAAAAATTTTTTTTTCCTAGGTTTCTCATTTTTTTTTGCTCCTGGAAAAATATAATAAAAGGAAAAAAACCAAAGATGGAAAAACGAACTGGAATCTTTTTTGATTTTGTATAAAAATCTATCTATCTATCTATCTGTTCCTTACTACTGGAGAATTTTCGTTTGGAAAGAAAAATTTCTTTGGAAAAAAAAAAAGAAAAAATTCATCAGAGGATGACTTTTTTCTGGAAATAAAAAACGGAAATGAAAGAAAAAAAAAATTTTCTTTTTTTTGATTATTGTTGTTACTGTTGCTATCCTTCCCCACTTTATCCTTCTTCGATTTTTACACTTCTTCTGCTTTTTTACATCCCCGCACGCCCCTCCCTCTTTTCCATCCTCACTTTTTGTTTTTTTTTTTTTTTTCAGGGAAAAACTTTTGGAAGGAGTGGTCATGAAAAAAATAAAAAATTATCTTTCTTTATTTTTTTTATTACATTTCCATAACATGAACATTAAGTAATTATAGCAAATTATAAAACTATGTATTTATAGTCTATAAATAAAGCTATAAATAAAGTAAACCGGAAACGTGTAAATACCATAATCAATTAAACGAAGAAGATTAACGTAAATTTTTGTAATTTTTTTCTTTTTTGTTTTTTTCAAACCATAAAAAACTTGCTATAACTATAACTATAACTATATTTTATACTATTGCTATAGCTATATTATAGTATTTTTTAATAATAATGATAATAATATCGATTAAAATCAATTCAAGTTTGACGGTAAATTTCTTTTTTTAAATATAAAAATGGAAGAAAGAGAGAGAGAGAAAGAGTACAAAAGAAAATTACAAATCGAATGAAGTATGAGTAGGGGTAGAGAGTGGGAAATAGGGAAGGAGCTGTGAGGAAGTGGCTAAAGGGAGGAAAAGAGAAGAAAAAGAATAAAAAATTTGAAGAATTAAACAAGATTAAAGATTTTTTATGGTCGTCCGCACGATTAAATTTTCAAAAAAAAAACTGAACTGAAATCGAAAATTCAAAAACGGAAACGGGATTTAGGGGAGAAAGAGGAAGAAGAAAAAAGGGAAAAATGGGAAGAAGGGGGAAAAGATGGTCAGAATTCGAAATTTAGAAATACGTGAAAAAGAAAATAATGGAAAATAATTACGAAAAAGAGTTTTTTTTTTTGTAAATTTAACGAAGGATGTAAAATAATAATGGAAAAACTATCGAATTTTTTGAGGTTGTAAAATTAGAAAGAAATATGGCGGCGGTGGTGGTGATGGCGGTGCCGATAATGGTGGTAATAACGGCGAAAAGGTTTAAAAAAAAAGGTTTATGAAATAATTAGCCTTCCTACCAAGAAAATTCTTATTTTACGAATAATTTTCATAGGAATAAATTTTTTTTTTTTTTTAACCGCCGCAAATTTTGTTTTATTTCCGGTTCCTGGATATAATTTTGAAACTGGAAAACAAACAAAAGTGTTTTTATTTATTTATTTTCACTAGAGCAATAATCGTACAGTAAAAACCTATAGACGAGGGTGCGATCGAAAAGTTACGATTATTAATTAATTTATCTTATTTATTAAAAAAAAAATGACGGTTAAATTATATCGCCAAAAAAATTTCAAATTTCGAAATTATTTTTATTATGCAAAATATACTAATTCTAATAATAATAATAATAATAGTCAATAAGAAAATTAAAAACCTTTTTTCAAACGCGTTAAAATTTTTTTTTCGGTATTTCTGGAATTTTCTAGAATGTTTTTCCAGTAAAATAGAAAATTTTTTTATCTGGTTATTCACACTTTAAATAATTTTTTTTCTTTTATTCTTAATAATAATAATAATAATAATAATAATAATTAAAATGAAGAGCGATATCCGCGTGATTTAAAAAGAATTTTTTTTTTTTCAAAAGTTGGTAATACCGTTTCCGTTTAGAAATAACGTGTCAATAACTTAAATATACGGGTCGGAAGTTTTTCCTTATTTCTTTCCGCATTAAAATAATTTATTTTTTCTCTCTCACTTTTTTTTTCTCCAGAGATTAATTTAATTAACGTATTTTATATTTTTTCCAGAAATATTTTCGATAGCTTGTCCATGTTTGAAAAGGATTTTTGGAGAAAATTGCAATAAGTGGTTCGATTGCGGGGGTAATAATAATATGACGTCGAAAAGAAAATTAAAATCGAATTGTTTCAGCACGAGTTCGGAAAAGGTGAGAAATATATATACATAAAATTTCCAAAATAAAAAAAAAATTTTCCCGGAGAAAATCATTTCCGGTATAAAAAAAAATTTTTCTTTTTTTTTTTTTGTTAACGGCAGACATGCATAAGCGAAAGAGACGAAAAAGAAGAAAATTTATTCGTTAGAAATTCAAAGCAAATAAAAATCGATGATAATTACAGCATTCAAGAAATGTCAACAAAAGTAACGGA